ACTGTTAAGATGCGGTTATTTCGAGAGAAAACCCTTCTCTCGAAATAACCCTTATTCCTCATACAATGAGATTTACCAGTTAATTCGAGAGAAGGGTTTTCTCTCAAAATAACCATGTCTTAACAGCGTCTGTTATTTCGAAATAGCGCAATTTCAAAATAGCGCCATAATGCGATTATGCAAATGAAGCGCGGGATATTTAAATTCCGGCCTCATTTGCAATTTCGAATGTCTTCATTTGCATCCCTCTCTCGAAAGAGGGTGTAAGTGTAGACATACCCAGAGACATGCTGTGCTGACGGAGGCCAACCCTACAGCCCTGAGAGTTCCTATGCTGTACTGATATGCTCAGTAAGACCTCCTGTTTTATGCTGGCTGAGAGACGCTTCAGTCTAGAGAACAGGGTTGCATTATTTCTGCTGGGAGTAGAGCCCCAGAGTCCAGAGCAACTGAACCCCGCGAGGAGGCCCAGGGTGAGAGAGAGGCGTGCTGGAGGTTCAGAGACGTGCCATTCCAGGAGGTGGAGGGGCTCACACCCAAGAGAGAGTGAACCTCTGAGAAGGAGCTAATGCAGTGAAGGAGGTTCCCCCCGGGGACCATACAGGCCAAGTGTGGGCACGACCTATGAGTCTGTGACAACCTCTGTCCAAACTTAACAGAGGAGGTGCATCCTTCCTGTCTCTCAACTCTGGCCCACCTATGCAAGCACGTGTCTGTATGGATGGGTTCATTTCTACAGGAGTAAGTTTTCTAGTTTGACATGCAACACAGGCTACTCACTCTGCCTGGCCCAGCTGCACCAGTTTTTGCTGTTGTTCCAGCAGATTAGAGAGCTCAGAGTTGCACTGGGACACAAAATGCAGGATCAGCTCACTGCCATCAGTGTGAAACATCCCTGCTGCAGCAACAGAGAGGCCCAGTGACTGTGGGAAGGAAGGAGAATCCGAGTAGGTCACCAACTACCAAATAGGTACCAAGCAGGGAATGCAGTTCGGTATTTGATTTGGTAAAAGCCATCACACGAATTCAAAGCAGAATGAAGTTACTTTATAAAGCGCAACCCTACTGACCTCTTTTCCCAGATCTTTCGGTGCCCTTGCTGTGCTATGCTGTGTCAACAGTTCTGCCCCGTTTTTACAGGCATGCTCAACACTACTGATTTTCCCTGAAGTTGTTCCAGGGTTAGGGAAGAATTTGGCCCTGGGTCTCTTTGAAGTACATCTCCCTCTAATTTCTTACATCCTCTCTGTCCCTCCAGCCACATACCTTTGCTCCCTCTGCAATAGCATCTGCTGTCCAACCGTGAGCAGGCACAAACTTCAGCGCTGCTGTCAGGATTCGCTGCTGCAGCTGTTCTTCACTTTCATAGTCCTCCGATTCCTCACCACCCTGGTCAGTGTAACTACAAGAAGGGAGAATTCCCTCACTATAACAACAACATCAGATATCAAAACCCAGGACTCTACATCCTTTTTTTCTGTCACCACTGGCAGATACCAATACGCACAGAGTTCGTATTTCAACCAGAAAGGACATTGTCTCAACGACTTGATTACCAGCATCCTGCTTCAAAGGCCTTTTAAGACTACACTTGAAAGAGAATCCTCTGAACTGTCATTCATGCTTAAATTTGACACCTTACGCCCAAGTTTGAATAAAGACTCTAATTATCTTACCCATTACAAAGATAGCTTCCCCAATTATCACCTCTAATATCATTAACTCACAGACATTTACCTCCCCCTCTCTCATCCCCCTTCTGTTCTGAAATTTGATTTGTCCTTTTCATATGTGTTAAATTTTTTTGATTGTATCCTTTGGTATATATGGTTGTGCCAATTTTCTTCCACTGTTTGATCTGAGGAAGTGGGTCTGGCCCATGAAAGCTCATCACCTAATAAACCATCTTGTTAGTTTTTAAAGTGCTACATAGTCCTGTCTTTTGTTTCCTAACTGTCATGTTACCAAAAATCTAAAACTGCAGCACCTGCTATGCATCCTGCCAAGGATGGCTCAGAGAATAGAGCAGAACTGAACAGCACACACAGATACACGAATAATAAATATATTGAGTCCTGAATTGAATCTGGAATCCATGATTTCCCATGGGCTCAAAATGCTACCTCCAATCCCTTTCTCAGCAGGAGAGTCTTGGGCCTGGCTACGTAGGTACCTGTGGTGGGAGCGCTGGGGCTCCTGGTCAGGCCGGTCACCTGGTGGGTGTGATTCATAACGTTGCTGCGAGGAAGATGGTGGCAGCTCCTGTTTCTGTTCATCTGAGGCTCTCCTCATCAGAGCTGAGGCATAGAAGGCACGCTGAGCCGGGCACCTGAGCACTGAAATGGAAACCATGCGAGTCAGCTGGTCTACTTTAAAGGCATAAGGGGTGAATGAGAAAGGAAACCGACTGAAGGAACTAGTCTGCGCCCCAGAAAAATGTCCATTCACCTGCAGCTAATATTTGTGTGCTTAACATATAGGGAAGGGGTTTTGTTTTTGGTAGGAAAAAATCCTGCAGTTTGTGATCTTATCCCAAACAGCAGAGGATTTCACAATTTTTGTCATGGCAGGTACTCAACAATTGCCCATTAGCGCTTTGGCAACAGACATACATGGCTCTGGGTACCTGAATACTGATTACACACCTAGTTCACTCTCACGTACTATAGAGTATCCCCTTGTCAACTGGGCATCTGCTTTTCCTTAGCACCCAGTGTCTCGGTGCCATTTGAGCCCCTGCTATGCTCTGACAACCAGAGTTTACCAAAGCCAGGGGAGCGTCTGGTTCACGACCCAGTACCCAAAGGATGCAAACACCAGCAGTAGGATGCCATTGGCACTCAAATAGCCAGTTAGACACAAACACGGCAGAGCGTGCACCTAGACCGACAATGTGTGTGAACTCTACCGCCAGCGTGTGATTCTGTTTGCAAGTTCCTTGGGGCACAAGTCATCTCTTTTCATCTGTGCAGTGTCTGGGGCCACCTTGGTGCTCAGTAAATATATATCGGTTTAGTTAAATGGTCAACTCCTACATATCCTTAACCGCAGAGCTGGCCACATGCCCCTGGGGCACCATTACAGGGCACCAAGGCCAGCCAGGGGTATCTGTAAATGGTGCTTCACAGCGCCACCCCATTGGCACCCCGCTCTTTGCAGGGCCACCCCGCTGGCCCCAGTCCCTAGCCCTGCCCTCTGCAGCGCCACCCCCTGCAGCCCCACCCCGCACCCACCCC